ACAGACCAGAACTCTGAAAGGGGCTCCGTTGAGCTCCTTCGGCGACAGGCTCCTCCCACAGGAAGTCAAAAATATGAGTCAGTTGCTAAGTGTATGAATTTTGATCACATGACCATGGGGGATGCCACAACATTCATAAGTGTGAAAAATGGTTGTACGTCACGTTCTTTAGTGTAACTTTGAATGGACGCTAAGTAAACTGTGTTCACTCAAGGACAGTAAGAAAATATCCATAACCTGAGGACAGATATAAATCAACCTCAAGAAATGTTCCACAAAGGCAAGGAGCTTAATGCTAAAAGTTGGTTCAAAACTGGCATTGAAGCACAGTTGGGTGCTACAGGAACAACATTAATTGTGGTTAAATAAAGTATACAACTACAGTAGCAACTGTGCGTAGCAAGCAATACTGTATTTATTACATTTCAAGTGACAAACCATGACTTTTGCATGTACTATAAGCTTGTAAGGTATAGTTTAGCCATTTGTATGTAACAGCAGAGTATGATCTGAACAAACCAGGAACTAATTAAATCTGTCCCGCTGAAAAGGAGAAGTGATTCTTCCTACAAGGCCAAGTCACAGTCTGAGATTACACACAAGTGGTAGTAAATGCTACAGAGCAGCACAGGTTTAGAAAGGAATTTGGATGGTCTCAAATTATGCTAACAAAACCTTACAAATATTTGAAACAAACAGTTATTCTATCACAATGATTACACTATGAGCATTAGAAGACACAATTCCCTATCATTCCCCAAAGATTTTTTTTTAAGAACTTTTTTTTCCTGTGCTCTGCAGTAATAATATTAGCATCGAGCATCCTGGATCCTTTCCTTATACCACCTATTTTCTTGCACACTATAACGCTCCACAAAACTAGTGCATGTCTAATCAGCATTTCTCTGTATGGAATTTTCCAAAGAAGTTTCAGGTGCATTTTAAAGCAGAACTGTATCTGTTATTATGTATAATAACAGGCAAGAATGAGACTTTCCATAACTCTCTCTCAGTTTAACATGATAGCAGGCTGCCTTCAGATGAAAAACAATTTTATCTCTATCTGAAGCTAAGCAGATATAACTGTACTTGGTCCATCATTTTACACAAACCTAACTGGAAATAAAAGTTCTGCTGAATGTAAGAAAGTTCTGCTTGGAAATAAACAAAAATGCACAAGATGTTAATCACACTACTTTTTTTCTGCCTTCTTTCTGACTCTCACTCTCCCTCCCACTGGCTGTATTGTCTCACATCAGTATTGGATTTTGGAACACTGCCAGCTATGTTGTGGTATGTACTGGTTATAATCATAGATAAGGAAAGATACTTCCAGAATGGACTCTCCACTCTACTTTCTCTGAATGAGTGGAATCAATCACCAAAGTCTTGGGGTGGGGGGGTTGTTCTGATGACAACATGACTTAGAGATCAAGTACATACTATCTTCAGCCCCTCAGAGGAAAAGATGGAATCAGGATCCTTCTTTAAAAAGTTACATTCAAAAATCCTTGAGAAGTCCCCCCCCCCCACCTTTTATTTACAAAATTCTGAAGCATTACAAAGATAGACTTAATATAGACAGAAAGAGGCTGGTAGATCAGGACAATTTGCAATAGATTTGAAACTATTTCTAACTTCCTATTGTTTAGTAACAGTATCATCAACAACTTTCGCTTACCCACCGAAAGATCGTGAATTAGATTGTAAAAGCAAAGATAATTGGATAACGAACGGTGTGTGGGAACAGAACTGTTAGATGAGCTTTGATCCTGAAAACACATTTCTGAATTGACTGTATGCCCTGAGATATCTTTTCATTTTTAATTCCAAGGGGGGTAGCAGCTTCCATTGCTCTACAATTTTCCCAATAGATCCCAGGTCCCCTCCCCCAAAAAACAAAGTAAATCTTGTAAGCATAATGTCTGCCCACTGTTGATGAGCAGACAGCTCTCTAAAAAGGCAGAGTATTCTGAACAGAATTGGATTCCTATTATCAATTTATCACCAAAAAAAGAAAGCACTCTCCTGTCTTGATAAGATATTTATTTATATTTTGCCAAAAAGAAAAGAAAGTTTGTATATAAAAACCTCCCACTAGAGGTGCATACGTTGCAGTCATTTGCTTTAAATTCAGTAAGTAGAAATTATAGTCTGCAACAGATGAGAAACCTGTATTCTAAGAAAACCGTCTCATTCTACACCACCATTCACTCCTTGTTCTCCTCTGCATCCTAGCCATCTCCTACTCAACTTCTTTCTACATTATGATCAAGAGCAATCAGCTTCAGCCTTCAGACCCTTTTTTCTCTCCCCCCCCCCACTTCTATGGCTTTCCACTTTTGCTATGAATTGATTAAACATTGTCTCAGATTCTTTAACAGTTCAGTTGCTAGCCAACTCTTTGGGGCTTAAACAATGCATTCCCACCCCAATCTGTAATGCACGAGGAATGTTTATTGCACTAAATGAAGTGATGGCAGGGTTGGTTGACTGTGGGATTCAGCAGGAAATAAACCAGATACTCAAGATGAGAGTAAACCCTGAAATGAGAGGTATTTGCTTATTCTGCAGATGCACTCTGCTTTTCTGGAGATGATATGCTACTGCAGCATCCAACCAATTGCAGGCATCAGCCCCCGAGGATTCAAATCCTCAGAGAGAATCCAGTACTGCAAACCTATGCAGTAAAGTTCTCTTGTTCTACAATGTCTGCAAAGCATACCGGGCACTAACTTGGATTATCCAAAAATCTGTTTAAACTGCTTTTTCTTTCTTTGTATTTCATAGGCTGCCCTATGAGTCTATGGGAATAGGCACATGTCTCATCATATTCAACATCTTGTCTGAAGGAGACCTCTCTTAAAGCCCAGCTGACCTATCACAGGGCAGGCATAGGGCTTTCTCTATGAAACCCAAAGCATGGAGTGGGAAGACAAATCTGGTAGGGAAAAAACCCACTATTTTCTTTTCAAAAGAGAGAGATCCAATATAGCAGATTCTCTGCCAGGACAGCAGCCAACCTCTCCAGATTCTCTTCAGCAGTTTAACATTTCAGGCACATTTTGAGACACACACATACAAAAAAAAAACCCTGCCAAGGACTCAACAGAGTCACCTAGAATGCTGGATGGTCAATAGAGTCCTGCCTTTGTAAAATCAATACTGAAAAAAGAAATGGGAGAAGGGGAGGGAGAAAAAAAAAAACACCAGGCAGCAGTAAGAACTTCCTGCTTGGCTCGTTAGGAAGTTGCAGCACAGGCACAGGCGAAATGCTCCAATTACAACATTCATGGAGTAGAAATCTAGCCGAGAAAGGAAGGGACCACACAGAAGTTGCAAAAAGGGTGGAGAGGGAGATCCTTGAGCGGGCCTTTCCTTCAAGCTGGTGCCCTTCCAGATGCCGTGGACTGCAATTCCATCATCCTCAGTCAGGAGAGCCATCTGGCAGACTCTTTGCCTCCCCCCCCCCCGGACCCTCTCCAGCCTGCCCATAGGGAGAGAGAACCCTTGTCTAAGAGCTCCGACCCAAACAGAAGGGTCCCTTTTGCATTTGAAAACCAGGAACGGGCCAGATCCCTGGCCATCCTCCCCACCCACCCGTCCCCAGACTCACATAATGCTTGTTGGGGATTCGCCTCTTCTGCACGTCCAGCACCTTTACCTCCACGATACTCTTCCGGGGCATAGCGTTGGTCGTCTGCAACGCGAACCCCAGAAGCAAAGCAGAAAACGGGGCACACCTCGGGCTGAAAGGCAGGGGGGAATCGGGATGGGGGAACAGACAGAGAGAGAAGGCAGAGGCGGGCGAAAGAGCCCCCTTCTTCGGGAGGGTGGTGGAATCACGGCTGCTACAGAAACGTACACTACAAACTTTTAGGCGCAGCTCGCGGGCAACTTGGATAGGCAGGAGTGAGCCACACCACCCTCGGCGTCTGCTTCCTCTTCCTCCTCCCCTCTCGCTCTACCTCCTCCAGTCTGCCTCTGTCCAGAGTTTGCAGATGCGGGAGGGGACTCCTCCCCGGCCAGGGCCGCTCAGACAATGTGGTTATGTGCTCCAATCCACCAGGGCTCTTAAAGGGACACGAGCCCCGCAGGAGAAGGGAAGCCGGCTACAAGGCAAGCAAAATCAATGCAAAGCCACCAGAAAAGCCGCCGGGATTTCTCTCCCCCATCCCCACCCCCGCCCCATCTATCTGCGCGCCCCACGGGGGGGAAGCGGTCGTTGAAAATGAAGAGGAAGACTGAGAGCGCTCGGGAAGTTGTAGGTCTCGGGCAGAGTGATATATGGGGAGTAGGTCTTTTCATACCTTCTGCCAAGGTTTTAACCTCCGCTTGACCTCCTCCGCTTCCCCACCCCCTAAGTGAGCGAAGGAACAGAGATTGATTAGCAGGAGTTTTGTCTCAAATCCAATATCGCGCCTTACCTCCCACGGGGGAAAATATGCATAAAAGGTTGGAATCGGAAATCTCCGAAAAGACCAAATCAACAAACTAAACTAAACTCACGAAATCTGTTGCAAAAAAAGGCCACGTGAGTGATTTCTGAGCTGGGGACACAGGCGGCCTTAGCGTCAATAGGGTCTCGGAGACTCTGGGCGAAGAGCATATACATTTTAAAATAAAGTGGTTGCCGCTATAAAAAGTTCAATGTATTAGAGATAAATGAACTAAGATCTCTATCCTTTTCGATATTAAATTTTTTTAAATTAATGGCCCCAAATAAGTGGAAAACAATGGCATGGAATAACCACAGCCAAGTTCACTGAAGGTCCATATTCCAGAAAATTTGAATAGCCAATATTTATGGCATCAATTTTGTTTGACAAGAATTATCTTTATTTTTTACAAAAGCAGAAATATGCATGTATATACGCACAACTTCTGGGAATGGCACACTCAATGCTGAAAATGATCCCTACAATATATATATTGTGTGCGTGTTTGTGTGTTAAATGGAATTTTAAATTTTGATGTATTGTTCTTATGCTGTATGCTGCCCTGCTGTCCATACTGATGAGTTAGATGAACTTATGCACCTTATAAATACATAATATTTAAAATGGCTTTACTTATGAACATTACTTCTTCAGGTGCTTAAAGTTAAGACATATTCAGTAGAAGCTGTTGCATATCGCTCAAGTACAGTGATGCTTTAAGCACTCCTCTTTGGTTTGGAAATTTATTCCATTTTTTCCATTTATGGAAAGCTGATTGGTGTTTGTAACTCTGCAAATAGCATCTCAGAGTGACATGACCTATCTGGACAATCTGATGACATTTTCTAATTTTTGTTTTACCATTTTAACCTTTGTTCACACCCCATTCTATTTCTCCTATTACCTTTGCCCCTTATCCAAACCTCAGTATTCCACACAACTGAATTATAAAAGGTAACTTTCTGGATTTTTGTCCACTAAAATCTTCTCCAGCATCTGCAGAAGTGGACATATTTGGATGAACTGAATATAAGAAAATTGGGTTCTAGGTAGGTAGGGAGAGCCAGTTTGATATACTGATTAAGGCATCAGGCTATTAGAAAGCAAGAGACCCAGGGTTTAAGTCCTGCCTTGGCCATTAAAGCCAACTGGATGACCTTGAGCCAGTCACTCTCTCTCAGCCCAACCTATCTCAAAAAGTTATTGTTATGGGGAAAATGAGAGAAAGTTTGTTGGAAATAGTCCCCACCTTGAGTTATTTGTAAAAATAATAAGAGTGTGATATAACAGAATAACAGAGTTGGAAGGGACCTTGGAAGTCTTCTAGTCCAACCCCCTGCTTAGGCAGGAAACCCTACACTATATCAGACAAGTGGTTATCCAATCTCTTCTTTAAAACGTCCAGTGTTGGAGCATTCAAAACTTCTGGAGGCAAGTTGTTCCATTTCTAACTGTCAGGAAATTTCTCCTTAGTTCTAAGTTGCTTCTCTCCTTGTTTAGTTTCCACCCATTGCTTCTTGTCCTGCCCTCAGGTGTTTTGGAGAATTGCTTGACTCCCTCTTCTTTGTGGCAACCCCTGAGATATTGGAAGACTGCTATCATGTCTCCCCTAGTCCTTCTTTTCATCAAACTAGACATACCCAGTTCCAGCAACCGTTCTTTATATGTTTTAACCTCCAGTCCCCTAATCATCTTTGTTGCTCTTCTCTGCACTCTTTCTAGAGTCAACATCTTTTTTACATTATGGTGACCAAAACTGAATGCAGTATTCCAAGTGTTGATACTATCACTCTCTTTATGCAGTCTAGAACTGTGTTGGCTTTTTTGGCAGCTGCTGCACACTGCTGGCTCATATTTAAATGATTGTTCACTAGGACTCCACGATCCCTCTCACAGTTACTACTATTGAGCAAGGTACCACCTATAGTGTACCTGTGCATTTTGTTCTTCATGCCCAAATGTAGAACCTTACTTTTATTTATAAATAAATAGAAGGAATTATTGTGAAATCTGAATGCCTAAAGATAAAGAAGCATTTTTAGATTAATTTATATGGCTGCTGTTCTTGCTAAATAGACTTGAGGCAGCTAACAAAGATTAAAAACAATACAATAAATAAGAAACAAACAACGGCAAAAAAACCATAACAGCTGTAGGGAAATGATGCAGCTAAAAAACATGGGCTCAATTCCATGACCCCAGAACCCAGGGAAGGAGCTGCTCTGGGTTAGACTGATAACTGCAGAAGAATGAAACTAATTGACAAATGCAGCATTTGTAATTGTTCTGTTTTGTTAACTTTTAACAAGGTTCCACAACGTCTCAATATATTAGACTCTCTAATTACCTTCCAACTGGATGATTCCTTTCTTACGTTTCAGCCTCTCTCCACTACAAAATGACAGATTGACTACATGGGAGTTTCTTAAATCTTTTCTGTAGACTTGTCCTCCAGGTCAGTGAAAGCTCTACTTTTGTTTTCAGCAGAACTCAAATTGTCTTCTGGGACCTGATTACTTCACTTATGTGGGAGAAGGCCTCTGTCTGCCAGGCCACAGAAGGAAAATAACCCAAGATGAGGAATCTCAGCATATGAAAGCAGGAAAAACACTTCCTTTTTCCCGTGGCCTAAAAATTAGCTAATATTCTTGAGAATATATGATGAAATCACATTAGAGCTGCACTCTTTACCCAGGAGAGTTATTTATTGTCACATATCAGAGCAGTTCATGAGTCAGATCTCCCATTTTGTTTAATTTTCTCTAAAACCATGGGCCTAAGCAAGAAACAACTAAGGAAGTTGCGATTCTCACCCAAATACATGTCTGAGATGAGCATTTTCTCCATATTGATGATGTTTTAGGCTCCTGCAAGGATATTCTTAATCTATCTCAAGGAGTGTGTCCAAGGCTTATCAAATGCAACGCCTCACTTGAGTATTTCTTAGAGTCCTTGCAGAAGAAGAAACGGGAGAGAAAATGGCAGGGAACTTTGACACTGCCTAGGATCAGCCATCCTTTGCCTCCCCAAAGGGGTACTAGCCATCACTTGAACAAGCCTACTTGCCTAGAGACATAACGAATAGGCAAGACAGTATTGTGACATTCCCTAGGAAAAAGACCCAGAGAAAAGGACCTTAGAGACTGCACTTACTTAAATTCCCAGAGGAAAGGCAGGTGCAGGAAAAGCCTCCTGCAAGGCAATCTGGACTCCTAGTAATGTTGAGTCAATTAAATATTGGATGTAGGAAAGAATTGTATTATTACAGCGGTTGGAACTACTGGACACTTGCAAACCATTTTCCTTTCATTTTCCTTGGTCCTAATAAAAATGCATGAGTTTGGTCCATAGGATAGACTAATGCAAGTATGATTGCTTTCTATATTGGCTATCAAGAGGTGAAACCCATTCTTTCTTCTTCCACATCCAATAATAGATGGACTGATTTTTTTTAAAAAAAATAGCTTTTATTTATTTCTCAGGAGGTATTTTTTAAAATTACTCTTAAGTAAAAATTTGCCATAATTTTTAAAATATAATCAATTCTATTTTAAAGTGATTAATTCTCTTGGATGGGTTACATTTGCCTATTTTACCAATGGGGAATAGGCACAGATAATCTGAATACCACCACTGAAAATTTATACTGGTATGAGTTTTTTTTCCCCATGGTGTTTGCATTTCATCCTCAAACAATACTTTCTTGATTTTTGTTTGCCACTCGGTTCATAAAATATCCTTAAGCAGATTGTAAAACAGAGGCTCAAAACAGAAACAAACTGCAGTTGAGACATCAAATTCTTCTTTGTTTAGTTAGGCTACAGGGAATACGTTATCCCACAACCGAACAGTTCTTATATGCTAAGTCTCACTTTTGACACATGCTGCATTCCAGGTAACTGCAACTGACAATCTTATCTTCTCCAGCTAATAGCAGAGCCTTCTCTAAGTCTCTGGACAGAGCAGTATGGTGGAACTTGTGTTTCTCTGACGCAGCATGAATGTTATAGATCTGTTAAGTTTTGCAGAGCTCCTGATAAGCAGTTCACCTTCCACAAATTTCACATCACATCATAAAGAACATTTAGCTGTCATTTTGTGCTCTGTTATCTCATCCTCTCAGATTTAGAAAAGTGGGCTTGATTAACCATTTTGTGAGGTATTAAAAAGAGCAACAGGAATTATGGAGAAACAAGGAAATTGGATCCTATGAAGTAGAAGTTCATTTATGCAATTGGGGAGCTGCATTTAAAAATGAATATAGATTTAGTGCTGGTATATTGCCGTCTTTCAAATTGATCGACTTTTCTCACAAGCCCCTCATCTAGGAAGGTTTAAGCATAACCTTCCTTACATTCAGCAGCAGAGGGGCTGGATACAAAATAACTTACGTTCTAATGTATGGATGATTTTTCCTCCGTCTATAAAGGTGTCAGCATTGTAAGATTCCACTTATGCTTTAGAACAGTGGGTCTCAACTTTCCT